CTAACGATTTTATCGTGTGACCGACTCGGTCAGTAAAAATATTAACGAATTTCAGACATTAGTCCGCAGACAATAGTATAGACGTCATGTATCACGGGTTAGGTCTCATGTATTAATAAAAATTTTTTCCTCGCTGACGGGTCGTGAGGAAAAAAAAGTGATATTTTTTATTTTAAATGCTTATACACAGTGTATTAGTTATATATGGATCATGTCATCCGAGCTTGAAGTATTGAAACAGCGTATCACTGAACTTGAGGCTGAGAATGCAGAGCTTAGGAAGGAGAATACTGAGATCCCTGATCTTAGAAGAAAGCTCGCTGAGATCCCTGATCTTAGAAGAAAGATCTCAGTGTTTGATGCTGAGAGAGTTGAACTTATGTGTATAATTGCTGAAACTCTAAAAATGACTAAAGAAGAAAGAATGAGGCGTGCTGTCAATTTCACATAAATAATCAGTTTAGTAGATCATGGTTTAACATTAATAAAATCCAAATAACAGCATAACACTTGTTCACACAATTGCGTAAAAAAAATAAAAAAAAAGGGGTCCCAACCCCCCTTCTTTATTTAATAAAAATTGTTGCCGGAGCAACAATACACAAATAAAAAATATTTTTTTATTTATATAATAAAAAATACATCGCTGTTACATAATGCGAATACAAGAAAAAAATATTATTCCTTTGGTTTTACGATAATATGAACTTGATTTGGATCAAAAGTTCCATTTTTGAAATAATCAAACATTTCGGCTGTCGAATTCTTAGGAATGATAACGTAGAGATCGGAATCTTGATGAGCTAGATTCTTAACTGCGTCTTTAAGCACTGCAACCTTATCTTCCTTGCATATCTGAATATTAATACGATTACCATCCGGAAAAAGACACTTAAGGCTAATAGGATTTGTGGTGGTCATTTTACGTACCTAAATACAAAAAATCATAGTAAGTAAAAAATTGTCTTCATAGACTGTATTAAACGGTAAATACATTACTTTAAAAATAAATTACGGGCAAGTGAATCAAGTAAAAAATATATATGAGCAAAAAATAATGTTATTGCTAACTTATCTTATGGGCGGGGAACTTGCTTATTTTTATACCGTCCATTCGCTAAATCTAAAAAACTTTGCTAGAAAAAAAAAGTTACATGATTGGTAATTGCGTTACCCAAGTCTAACGGCAGTTTTTTTTTCTCCATAAAGCAACTCCACTCGGTCATAACTTCCAAACACTGAATCTATTCTGTTATTTTTTCTGGTGAAATTAACCCCCTTATAATCGACGATCGTTTAAAGTGGGTTTAGATCGGAGATGGCGGAGATTCGAAGTCCCTGTAACATATGAATTTTGATAAAACTACTGATTAAGAACGTTATACTCAT